TTACCCTGCTCCGCTGGGCTTGCAGCTGGCGAAGGATCTGCTGCATCCCTCCCCCGAGGAGGAGAAGCGGAAACACAAGAAGAAGCGCCTGGTCCAGAGCCCGAACTCCTATTTCATGGACGTGAAGTGCCCTGGTGAGCTCCTGACACGGCCCCTTGTGCCAGCTGCGCGCAGCTCCTGCTGCTGGGAAGGGCAGCCTGTGCCGTGTCCCGCCTGCTCCAGGCCCGGCCAGCAGGCCCCACGTTGTTTGCCCCGGGAGTCCAGCGCCGACTGGGTTGCTTTCGTAGTCGCAATTTTCGGAGCGGATTCGAGTTGTTTGTGGTGGAGGCTTTTCGCCTAAAGATGGGGCCTGTGCAGAACTGTAGAGCTGCAGGGGAGCTAGAGCAGCCTGGTCACTATGGAGATGGCACGCTGAAGCCCATCTCCCTTCACCAAAGAGTTAGGACAGCCATGCAAAGTAGTAGACCCCCGCTAGTCCCGGTGCCAGAGAAGTCCATGGATGTCTGCTGGGTGGCGTTCTAACCAGGGGATGCTCTGGGATTTGCTTGTCTCCATTTAGTTACTTGGTGCTAGCTAAATGCATTATTGTAGCTAATGGACAACTGATTTTTCCCTCTGGGACTCAGGGGGAGGGCTCCTTGGTCAGTGTCCACCTTTAAAATACAACCTTGAAAGGCTTGTGCCTTGACAACTCCTGGCTTTTATACTGGCACAGCTGCCCTTGACCCTCTCTCACCACTGGCTTGCACTGAGCGCTTACTAGCTCTGTCACTTGCTCCAGCAGGGGAAATGCCCTGTCCCCAGCTCTTTTGTGGAGAATATGCTCATCTCAAATCTTTGCTTTATTTCAGGTTGCTATAAAATCACCACTGTATTCAGCCACGCACAGACTGTGGTTCTGTGTGTGGGCTGCTCAACTGTGCTGTGCCAGCCCACTGGAGGAAAGGCAAGGCTTACAGAAGGTAAAACCACCCAGTCAGTGCATTGTTTGACCTGGTTGTGAGTAGTCCTCTTGTCTGTCTGGAACTGCACATTTCTCGGGGCATGGAATGCAGAGCGTGGCTATTAATGCATGGCATGCTGCATGAACAGGCAGTCTGGCTACAGTGTTTCTCCAGTGCTTGGAGGGAGCGGGGTTGCTAACTTGTAAAACTCTTAAGTGACCAGCAGTAGTTACTCTGCTAGAGCACATGGTAGGTCAGAACTACTAGAAACCGTGGGGGTTCGTGGCTGTTTTCTGGTGCTCCTAAGGGATTACTGAAGCTATAGTTACTGTTCTGCTGGCTTTGATGTTTATGTCCTGTGCTTGGTCTATCTGAGCACATTCCGTGTCTGTTGGCTCTGCTACCATGCTACTTGTGTAGCAGCATATCTGACAGTGGATTTGGGGAGTGTTGATACTTCAGGGTTTCATGCTCAGCAAGGGCTCTGGGAGAGTAACGGGAATAGTTTGCTTTTGTCACAGCCCCTGGAGCTCTTGTGCGGTCCCCCTCCTGCGGTGGGGGGGCATAGTGTCAGTTTACTGTATACAATGGTCAAAGGGGCTAAGAACAACCCAACTGTCCCCCATGTGGCCTGGTGACGTGCTTGAGATTACTTACTGTTCTTTCCTCATCTAGGATGCTCCTTCAGACGAAAGCAGCACTAAACTAAACAAAGGCGTGTCTGAGATGGGTGGGACTACCTGCACAGTCGCTGCACAAATACAGCTGGTTCAAGAGCATGGGGTTCAGCCACAGGACGCACTGTCAAGATGTGAGCCGAGGGCTTTAGACATGTCTATAGAATATGAGGGGAGAACGTGACTCATACTGTCCCTGTAGCCTCACCCATCTGACTGTCAATAAATTTTGGATAAAATACAGCTTTGTCTGTTGCTTTAACTTAATACTGTCAATGCTCTTTGGGCGACGTGCGTGAAAGCAAACCCCTTTTGGGCAGTGTCTGACTCTGCACTGCCTGTGCTTGCAACAGATGTTGTGATGACCCTCAACGGGGAAAGAATATGCACATGCAGTGAGCTCTTCACCTTACGGCCTCCAGCTAGGAGTCTCTAGCCCTGTGGGGTCCAACCATTTCGGAAGCAGTAGCCACTATAGCTACTGCAATAGCCAACTAGCCACCCTCAACCGGCCCAATAGCCACATGTGGCTAGTGTGTTGGACACCACGATTCTAGCCTGTCCCTTCCCTGAGACTTCAGAGTGATCTCCACATTCTTAAAGCGGAAGTTTCAACTGCTTTGCCCTACTGACAGAACAGGCTTTTGCAAGTGATGCTCAGCTATTCCTCAAACCACTGTGATGGGGCCTTGTTACTATTTCAGGGCTCTGGTCTTGCACCCTACCTCTGCAGGCAGGCCATAGAAGCGTGTTGTAACATACTTACTAGGGGTGTAATCAATTAACTGATAAACAAAAGTTTACAGGTTAATGCTACAGACTACATGCATTTTCTCTCCTCTCCCCCGCTCCTGAGTACTTTTTTTTTTTTTTAAGCAGGCAGGCTAGCAGCCTGGCTCAGTCCTGGCTTGCACCGGATCTGGATTTAAAGAGTATTAGAAGCCAGGCGGGCAGGACGCCTGTCTTGCACCAAGTCTTGGAGCTCAGAGCTTCTCCTGGACAGGGCTGCTGCCACCCTGCACTGCTGCCTCTATACGCAGGGCAACAGGTAGCCAGTCTGAGAGGAGCTGGTTTGTAACCTGGCTCCCCTCACAGACTAGCTGCTGCCTCTGAAACTGAGGCAGCAGCACAAAGTGGCAGGGGGCTCCTCAGGAGTGGGCCCAGAGCACAGTGGGGACTACAGAACAGTCGAGTAACCAATAAGAGTTGATGAGTTAACCGATATTTAACATCCTGTACACTTAACAGCTTGAAAAGGGTCAAAGTTGAAACAGCTGAGTGGCTTCTGGATTTTATTCTAGCCCATACCATGAGGGAGTCTTCTACCACACTGCTCTGTTCAGAATGGCATGAACCCTACTCTGCGTCTGCCAACAGAGGGGCTTGGCCCAGTGCTCATTGCTGGGGCCGGAAGGGTCTAGAGTCAGTCCAGAGAAACAGGCAGGTGCTATGATCCATTAGCACACTTCACAGACATTTATTAAAGTACAAAAAGGCAAGGCCTTCAAAAATGTCTTCTCCGTACACTCCAAAGCCACAGCTGTGTCCTGTTTCTTCCATTGGGCTGCTGAGGACCAACAGGAGGATAGGAATACCCTAAAGGGTAGGGGAAAAGATTACTCAATTTAATACTGGACTGTGTGAATACCAATACGAGGCTGGAACCATGGTTTTACTTAAGACAACTGCTATCTAGCCTGGCAATTACTAGAAGAAGTTCTTAAAACTTCAAGCCTTTTCCTGTGCTCTAGAAAAGGTAGAGATAATGTCTTTCATTGGACTGACTGGTTGGCGTCCCCAACAAAAGATACTACCTCACCCACTTTGTCTCAAACCCTGGACCAACACGAGTACCTGGTGTTTCTGGTCTCTGGAAAAGTAGGCTTGCAGTCGGACAGCAGTCTGGGTATTCTACAGCTAGAGAAGTGAGTTTATTTTACAGCAAGTAGGCTGGGATGGGGGAGGGCAGGGGCACAAGCTAGACTCCTCACTATCTCAAGCTACTGATGTTTCTACTAACCTCTAGGAACTGTGCTTTAGATACTTAAGTATCCAGTGTCCTATACTGTACTTTACACAAGTTTAGAAAATTCCAGCTTACCTGTCTGAGGTGTAGCTGAGGTAGGCACGTACACAACAGGTACATTCTGCACTCTGGTGAGAAAGGCATTGTATGCTGCAAAAATAATCAGTTCTATAATGAAGTGTGGGGAACAGGCTTGAAGGCCCAGTCCCATTGCTCTAACAGTTTGTGTACCCATTTACAACCGTTCAAGGTGTGATTTAAACCAACCCAGATTGCATAGCCATTAATTTAGGTGCAGTCACCTCAGACTTGTCGATTGGCCTTGGCTTTCCTGAGCGCTCTGAAGACGTGCTGGGTGGCCTCACTCCGTTAAGTGCAGTAAGCTGCACGAACACGAGGGGGAGGTTTTCCCACAAGTTCAACTAAACCAATACAACTTTGTCTAATGGCCAAACTGGAGATTTCTGCTTAACACCTTTTCACAGCTTCTGTAGGTCAAAATCCTATAAACCCCACCACTGTTTATGAAGTTGTGTGGAGGAGGAGAACGTGCATGTTGGAAGAAATCAGATAATAAATGAGAATTCCCAAAAGCAAAACGAAGGTGAAACTGGCAGAAGTGCTGTGCTTTTTAGGTACCACTGGAAGTGTAAATCTTTCTGTATTAAAAGGTGAAATCATTAGTGCTTAAAGGTAGCTCTGTTAGCACCAATAATGTTGTCTTTCCCAGAAATGATCCAGTCGAAGTAGCAACAGGGTGAATTTCCACCCCCTGCCCTTTGCCAATATACCTCAGCCCTGCTCCAGAGTAATCACAGCCAGAGGAGAACGGAGTTTGGCTTTTCCATGGAGGAACAAGCCCTTTAGGAAGTGGATGCATTTCCTGTAGGCAGCTGAGTGGGCTGATTTGGTTGACTACTGGCTTGGAGCAGCTGAGCTCTAGCAGTGTCTATATCCCAGGGCAAAGAGGCTGTGATTTTTAATTCCAGAAATACGGTGTGACAGAGGTATGGGCCTGGCCCTTCTACTGGGTACATCGCAGCCCCACAGCCTAAAGCTCAGGGACTACAGGCTCTGATAGGCTGCGTGCCGGCGACTTCCATCATCCTTCAGAGGCAGATTCACTAAGTTACGTGACACTTACTGGAGATTTTATAAACTGAGGGCCCTCTACTTTATGTGGTTGTTAAAGGTAGCGGGTTATTTACCTATGTATCTATCTTAGTGGCCAAAATGTCCTTTTCGCTCGGGTGCATATCAGTTGGTGTCACTGGAAAAACAGCAACCTCCCTGTGCTGCAATATACTGTAGAGGTTCTTGAAAGGCACTGCAGAAATAGGACTTGGACACCAGCAGGACTGCGTCGGGGTTAACCCTTTGTATGCTAAATGTATTTTATTTCAGGACATGATCTGATATGTAGTTGTTTGAGTTGTGTATGGTTGGTTTCAAAATGTAGCAGACAAATGAGTGGATCCAGTGAACGAACACAAGGTAAAACTCTGTTTTCCCCTCATTACTAACTGCAAACCTCTCTTGCATTTTCACTTACTGAGAAAGATGACGGTGGTTGATGCTAGAACAGCAAAGAGGGTGAAGAGAAGGATCTGGTAAGAGCCTATAAGCTGTTGGACAATTCCTGCTTCACTGCACTGACCTAACATTTCCAGAAAAAAGGTGATTAGTTATGGATGCAGGCAGACTCCTGCTTTCTATAATAAAGGACGCTGCAGAGACGCATCTAACCACCCTTCAGCTTTGTTGCAGGCGCTGAAAAGAACTATGTATTAGAGCAGTATTTCTCAGACTGCTCCACGGAGCCCCAAGGGCTGTGCGAGACATCTCCAGGGGCTGCGTGGGGTTGACAAACTGGAAACAGCGATAGGTACAACACGTACAATCAGTGGACCGCTGGGGCTCTGCGTACACTTTTATGTATGGAAAGGGCTCCGGAGCCCAAAAAGTTTGAGAACTGCTGTTTTAGACAGTTTTTGAACAAGAACTCCTCCTAAACGGTAAGAGTCAGGACCACCACATTTGGTAGACAGCTTCCTTGTGTAACTTAAAGCTACGTGAGGGGTTGGTTGAGCCAGGGAAATGGCATGTGCCTGGAATGGGATTCCTCAGAAAACCAAACCAAACAGAAGAGACACAGAATCACCAAAGCAAGTACAGTCCTCAACTGACATAACTGAGCAAATGCTGAAAGAGACTGATGCTGGACAAACGATGAGCCAGAAAAATGGGATGAACCTGGAATTGGATCGCGTCTCAATAAACCTTACAGAAAAGAGACAAAACAAATCTGAAGCAGTGCTCTGTTTTGGCTCCGGGTAACAGTGGGGAAATCTGCTCGTACTATAAGCTATTTCAAAATAATTTATCTTTTTAATAGGAATTGGGTGCTGGAGCCCTAGGAAATGAAGTTTTCTCCCTAAACCAGGTGCAGCATAAACAGCAGCACTGAAAGCTTTCTGACTCAGGCTCTGTCAAAGTGTCTCTCTAGGACTAGGAGGGACCAATTCAGTCTCCACAGTCTATCGGTGAATCCCATCTGTTCACTAGGGATACACCCAGACCAACACCACCACATTTAATGCAGACTACGGAATAAAACCAGATGGAAACTGCTCTGCATCATTAACTTGAGACAGAGCAGGAAGTAGTGACAAAGAGGGGAACTCCTCTTCTCACCCCCAACAAGTTCACGGAGGGAGGGAGCTCTTCCTTGTATCCAGCTGAGTCTTCACCGTGACATGAACACAGAGGGGCCCCTTGCCCAAGTTGGCATTCCAAAGGACCACTCCTCGGTAGCACTGGGCACTCAGCTCCCACTACGGCCAACGAGAGTAAGTGGTCTGTGTCACTGTATTGGAGCCTGGGCTGGTGAAAAATGAGCTTCAGGAGCCAGCACCCCCCCCCCGGACACTTACTGAGCACAGGCGGTTCTGCCACCACTCTCACTGATACTGTAACTCTTTGGCCTGTGAGGACACAAGAGACATTGATGTAGATGGGGGCTGCCATCTGCTGGAGAGATGTGAGATTGACCACGCTAACTGGGTAGGAGACAAGCCCAGGCATGTTGGGTGAATGTTCAGGCTGCCGCACTATGATCACAGGACTGGTGGGGTGGACCTTTGGGAACAGACAGGAAGCAGTTATTTAACAGGAAAACACACAGTAAAGCCAGTGCTGTACACTATTACACAGCCAGGTACAAACAGTGAGGCCCTTCACAACAATGCAGTAGTGATAACACAAGTATTCCTGTAAGTACCTTCACTTACAGTGGGGAGCAGAATATTGGACCCCCGGGCCTACTGGCATGACTCACGCACACAGTGCGCACTAGGTTATACCACTGGCCCCTGCCCTTGCGAGAGGGACCCAGCACACTGCATGTGTGAGAGGCCGGTGTCCCGTCCCATCTCATCTCATTCTATTTCAGTAGCAGACAGGCGACAACCCCTTCCCCGCCCGAGAGGACTGTCCAGTTTACAACTGATGGTCGACTTGGCAACGAGGTTACTGTGACTTAGGCTCTCCTTGTCCACCGGCCCACCTTTTCCCTCTCCTGATATCCAAGAGAGGGAGGGAGCACTCAAGTACTACAACCAAAAAAATCTCAGTGGGGCAGCCACATTAGTCTGTGTCTAAAAACGAGGGGTCCTGTGGCACCTTAGAGGCTAACCAAAATAGACAGAATCACTGTTGCCCATGACAGCTCATGATTCTACACATTTTGGCTGGCCCCTAAGGTGGCACAGGCCCTCTCGTTTTCAAAACCAAAAAAGACATTTTCCAACGAGAAGCAAGTCAGGTAAGTTCTTCAGGGGACTGAGTGACTGCTCCAACCAAACCTAGCTCCGCAGGATCAGATTCTCCCTCTAAATACCTTCCTTCCTTCCTTCCTCCCTCCCGCTTCGCATGTATGTGTATTCCCCAGGAATGGAGAGGCAGAGAGAGCTTTCTATGTACCTCCAGCTTTTCTAACACTTGCTCAGCTCCCAGCACTCTGATCTTGCCAGTGAGGAGTTTGCTGCTAAAAACCACTTCTGACTGATTGAGGTAAAAGGCAGGGAGGAAGGGAACCAGGATTCTTTGCATTCCATCCTTGCTTTGTTCACTGAAGAGACAGACCATCACATACACAGAGGCCTCAGCAAAACTCAAAGCCAGGAGGACTTCATCGGACTGGGGTTTAGCGGTGATGACGCAGGCGTAGAGACCTACGTTCAAGACAAGGAAAACCAAAGAGTAGAGGGTTTGTTGTTGATTGTTTTTAACACAGAAGCCATCTATCATCGCCTACCTTTTTCAATACTGAAGTGCGGCTGGATGTGAAAGACTTTACTGGCTGGAATATCCAGCACTGTGCTGCTGAACTCAACTTGACACAGCAGGTGAGACTCTGGGCGAAGCAGATGAGTGACTGCATAAACCTGAGAAGGGCTGCATGGGCCTAGAAGGAAGCAAAAGGGAGAAAGAACAAGCCAGTATTGCCACGACGGGTCTCTCAGTGGACAGAGCGGCAGAGGGGCTAGTCTGTAATTTCCACTGTCCTACACTCCCTACACAGAAGAGCCCTTCCCAATAGGTCACTGACATGTCCCATCATTTTAATGGCGAAGTACAAAGCCATACTTGAAATTGTTACCGACAGCATAAAAACAGGCCTTGTCCCTTTTCAAAGCATTATGTCCATTCAGTGACATCTGAGGGAGAGAAGCTGGCCCAGAACCTACTTTACATGAGAAACGATCCCGAACTTTGACATTCTTGGAAGGACAAATGGGATGTGCTAGTGGGCTGTAGTCTAGCAGTTACAAAAGCTGAGCTGCAATTCACCTCACTTTCCGGTTACGAAGCCTGCAGGGTTTATATTGACTCTGAGTAAAGCGCTTACAGCCTACAAATTGCTTTTATACCTGCAATTCGATTTCTCTTAACTATGAGGGTACTATGGATAAATACTCTTGCTGGCTCATGGACAAACACCTTAGTGACTGCTGTAAGCCAGTGTAGGCCAGGCTGGTGGAATGTAAGAGGCAGCAGTAACAAGTCTTACCTCTGAGGCTTGCTCCTGCACTGCCTGTGGCAACAAAGACCCAGAATTCAGATGAGTTAAGAGTATTGGTTAGGTAGCTTTTGGGACCAAGGGTGAGGCTTAATCTTGTTGAACCATTGACAACTACCTAAAATAATAAAACAGAGTATAACTTTGTGTCCGAAAGACTTGTGTGGAGACAGTGGAGAGTTTTAAGTGCTGTACCTTTTTTTTTTTTTGCTACTGAACATTTTCCCATTCCCTAGAATCAGACAATTGTACTACCTTTGGGAGAAGTCTGGCATTTACACTACCTCCCTTTTTCACTCTCAGAGTGGTGCAAAGGAAGCTCTTTTACATGGGTAGAGCAGTGTAAAAGAGAATCAAGTTCTTGGTGTCTTCTTTTTAAAGACCCTATGAACTTGCTTACAGGACTGTTCTTCCTAGAGAAGAACTGAATCCAGGTTTGCAAATGAACCCATGTCGAGTTACAGTAAAAACGGTCTGCTTTTGCAGCACCATAATACAGTCTTCCACCCCTGTGCCAACAGTGCTGCTTTCAGTTTCTAAGTATAGGCTGTGCATTCTTATAAACAAAAGGATTCCAAGATAAATACAGACTAACTGCCATGGGTGCAGCGTACAAGTAACTTATGGGAAGAATTTCCTTGGCAAAGCAGCAGCAAGCTGGCCTCTCCTACTGAAGAGCGTAGCAAGAAATACCTCTCTGTATGTTTTCACTATCCCTGGGATGTCATGGAAGATTGTAGCTGTCCCAGCATTCTTCACAAACGCTGCTCCACTCACAGGGTCTGTCTGAAGAATGCCAGTGGGGGAGACCTGCCACAGCCCAGGTTCACCTATAAAGACGGAGATCCCTTTAGTCAGGTCCCTCCATGAAAGGAATGACTGAAGGTGCTGGGAATAAGTTACTAAGTTTCAGATGTCACTCCCCCTCCCCCTCCCCCCCACATTCACAGAGTTCAGACTGGGGAGGCCACACTCACAGACCTTGTCTCTTTGCAGATCACAGGGAACCTTTCAAATTACCACACTACACAACCCTCCCTTCCCCAGCCAGTGAAACACACTGAGCTACTGCCTGCTCCATCAAAGGCTGCCTGTAAATCCTATTGACGTGAATAAAAGAGCTGTAGGAAGGCAGGTTAATGTTTCATGGCTGAGGGAAGGGCTTGGCGTTCTGAGCGATGCTCTCTGGTTACCTTTGTTCCTAAGACACTGTCACAGTGATGAGACAGCAAGAAAACAAGGTGCAGTATGCAGCTGGATGGAGGGTTTAAATGCAGCTGCAGACCCACTGTATAGAGAAGACCAGCCAGTAGCCCTTGTGTAGCCTGCCACACGGGTGTGTGAGGAGAAAGGAGGAAAGCAGCAGTCCTGAAGGAGGCCAGGCCAGGCCAGTAAAGCTGAGCTCACCCTTGAATGGTAGAGCGGGAGAAGGGAGGAGGCTTCCTGCAGACAGCAAAGATGGGCCTGACACTTTTACTTGCACTGGCACAAATCCATGACAAAGCCACTGTCACCAACACACCCACAGCCACGCATAAAGCAGTGTCAGGGAGAGACCAGACCCCTTGTTAGTACAGGGTGAGAATCAGCCACTCTCTCCTGAGGCCCCTCTAACGCTGACACTTTCTGGTTCTGGGCTAGACTTAGGGCTTGCCTCTGGCAGCCCCTCACTGCCTTA